GGACCCCCCCCCCCGGGTCCAGACCTGGGACTCCCCCCCTCCCGGGGGAGGGATCAAAGGAAAGGGGCTTCTTTTCGAGTGTATGACGACGTTGCTTAATTTCGCTTTTGGCTGACGCTCTTGAGGAGGAGAGGAGCGGCGACGGGCACAGAGAAGTGAAAGCGGAGGGAAAGAGGACGACAGAGACGACGATGAACGAATGACGGCGGCGACGACTCGAACGGAAAAGCCCCTCACACAAGTCCGCGCGATGCAACGGTGGTGGTGACAATGATGGCCAGGTGATGAACGTTGATGAGTCGGCATGGGGCTCCCGTGGGGGGCCCTTCTGTGCCATCTCAAATTCCTTCCTCCTCCTCGTCCTCCTCCTCACCCTCCTCCTCTCTCCAATCGGAAACCCTTTTCGGATCAGAACCAAGGAGAACCAAGGGAAACAGCAATACAAACAAGACAACAAAGAAAAGAAAGGGCAATCCGAGGGGACTCCACCTCCAGGCGAAGAGGTTGCAGGACAGGGCGGATCCCGAGCGATCGGCGGAGGAGGGAGAGGGGGGCCGCCACCCTCGTATCAGGTCGGGCCTGTCCCCCTACAGAGGGATCTTCGACGAAAACTAAGAAATACCCCAAACATGCCCCAAAATGGCAAAAAACTGCTCAAAAAATAGTACCCAGACTATTTTTTACTTTTTCCCCACATCCTGAGTGGGGTTCTTGTTTTCCCAGAACACCGTCTCCTTCCCACCCACCTCCCGCACCATCTTCCATACAGCACAATATTATTCCTACCACACACACCATACCATACCATAGTTCCTACCACACATACCATACCATACCGTACCATACCACACCATACGTACCATACCGTACCATACCATACCATGGCGTACCGTAGCATACCATACCATATCACACCAATGCCACACCGTACCATACCATACCCATACCGCCAGGGAGGCCCCGCCTGAGCGAGGAGGGTATCGGAATACCATACTATTTACATGGTTTCGTGCCCCTCCCACCCCTCCAGGGAGGCCCCGCCTGAGCGAGGAGGGTATCGGAATACCATACTATTTACATGGTTTCGTGCCCCTCCCACCCCTCCAGGGAGGCCCCGCCTGAGCGAGGAGGGTATCGGAATACCATACTATTTACATGGTTTCGTGCCCCTCCCACCCCTCCAGGGAGGCCCCGCCTGAGCGAGGAGGGTATCGGAATACCATACTATTTACATGGTTTCGTGCCCCTCCCACCCCTCCAGGGAGGCCCCGCCTGAGCGAGGAGGGTATCGGAATACCATACTATTTACATGGTTTCGTGCCCCTCCCACCCCTCCAGGGAGGCCCCGCCTGAGCGAGGAGGGTATCGGAATACCATACTATTTACATGGTTTCGTGCCCCTCCCACCCCTCCAGGGAGGCCCCGCCTGAGCGAGGAGGGTATCGGAATACCATACTATTTACATGGTTTCGTGCCCCTCCCACCCCTCCAGGGAGGCCCCGCCTGAGCGAGGAGGGTATCGGAATACCATACTATTTACATGGTTTCGTGCCCCTCCCACCCCTCCAGGGAGGCCCCGCCTGAGCGAGGAGGGTATCGGAATACCATACTATTTACATGGTTTCGTGCCCCTCCCACCCCTCCAGGGAGGCCCCGCCTGAGCGAGGAGGGTATCGGAATACCATACTATTTACATGGTTTCGTGCCCCTCCCACCCCTCCAGGGAGGCCCCGCCTGAGCGAGGAGGGTATCGGAAACCATACTATTTACATGGTTTCGTGCCCCTCCCAAGCGGGGCCCCGCCAAAGCGAGGAGGGCATCAAGAAAATGGGTCCCACGAAACCGTTAATCTCTTTATGTGGGGAACTCCGTTAGCATAATTGGGACCATTTTGGAGGTATTTTTTTATTTTTCGTCGAAAATCCCTCTGTAGGGGGACAGGCCCGACTTAACCCTCGTACCCAACGGATGAGTGAAGCGGCATCCTTGCTGTGGGAACCCCTTCCAGGGGACCCCTTCCCCAAATTTCTGGAGGGTGGGCGTCGGCGGGGGGTGCCCTTGCTAGGGGACCCGCGGGGGCGGTGCAGGCGGCGATCGTGGGCGCGAGCGGGCCTTCCCCTTCGCGCGCGGGGGATCGCACCTCCTTTTTGAATCCCCCGCGCCGGCACCAAGAGACTGCTTGACCCTTCCTCCTCCTCCTCCTCCTCCTCCTCCTCCTCCTCCGCCTCCTCGTCCTCCTCCTCCTCCGCCTCCTCCTCCTCCTCCTCCGCCTCCTCCTCCTCCTCCTCCTCCTCCTCCGCCGCCTCCTCCTCCTCCTCCTCCTCCTCCTCCTCCTCCCTCTCGCGTGGGGCCCTGGGCGGGGCACCCGGGATGTAGCCCCGTGCGGAAGGCCGGCGTGCCCCCCATCGTGCCTCCCTTGAGGATGGCACCCGGAGGGTGGGCCCCCCCACCAGGAGGCGCGGCGGCTCTTCCGCGCCTCCTTAAATAACCACCTCGTAATTTAAAACCTCCTATTAAAAATCAAATCCACAAATAACTAAGTTATAAAACCCTACTCAACCTTCCTATAGCACCGGGAAAACCTTGGACAGTTGTGCTGTCCTTTTTCTAGCCTAGAAAAGCGACTGCTCGGACGGCTGCCAAAAGAAAAACGTGAAATTTGCTGCCACTCTGCCTGCGAGGGGGGTCCCTTGCAGTGGGATTCCCCCCTCCTCCCTTTGGGCGGGAGGTCGCGCGGGCGGTGGGCAGATCGGGGGTGGACGGAACCCCCACCAGTGACACGTCGATTAGTGAATTGTCCTATGACGAGCCAACAACACACACACCCATACCCATAGGGGGATCGGAGAGGGCTAGGGGTGCGTGTTGTCGGGTGGGGGTCCCCGCTCGAGCGGGAGCATTCTCCAGGGTCCGACAACCCACACCCCTACCCACGGCCAGTCCTCCTCCCAACGACCCCCCTATGGGTATGGGTGTGTGTGTGTGTGTTGTTCGTTCGTCATGCGAGGGGGGTCCCTTGCAGTGGGATTCCCCCTTCCTCCCTTTGGGTGGGAGGTCGCGCGGGCGGTGGACAGAGGAGGGGGCGCCTGTGGTTACGGGTGGGCGGTCTGCCTGGAGAGGCTGAACCCACCTTTTCGCCACAACAGGGCGACCCCTCGCCACCTCCTCGCCCTCCTTTAGATAGTGCGCGGGATGCGGGGGGAATCCAATTGTTTTCTGCTTGTTGCCCCCTTATCTTGCTAATTTCTGTCGTGTTCCATCCTTGTCCCTCCGCCATTCCACATGTCTTCTCTCTGCCCTTTTTAGGGGCTGCACTACATGCGCATGGCAGGTAAGGAAGATACACCCCCAAGGGGCACGATGGAAGACGAACAGGGCGGGTACCGAGTGTTTGAGAGAAACGGATGTCCGCGATACTCAAGCATCCCCCTTTTAACCCCTGAATCATGCTTGTCTATGGGGTACTATTATTTGATCGGCGGGCGGAGTGGCGAGGACGAGCTTTCTTATTGCCAGGGGAAGTACGGATCGTACATTGAATCGGATTATCCTGATTTTCCTTTTTTTGTTATCATCGCCATTGTTTGTTGTCATCATCACCTTCTCGTCGACCCCTCATTTTGGCAGACCCATCACGCGGTTCGTGGCCCCATGTGGTGCTCTAGTGCAATGGGTGCTTCATCGCGATGGGCGTAGGATTCCGTGTGCGAAAGAAGCTGGATGGGGCCGGAACAGCTAAACCGCTGTTCTTCGCCGTTATTGTCGAACGCGCCCCAGCTGAACTTGTCTATCGCCATCGTTGGTTACCACTCCCAAAGAGCGGCCACGAATGCTCCTTCACGACGGCTAGAGAACCCCCCAGGAATGGGCTACTCCAGATTTCGTAATAAAGGGAGGGGGGTCTCATTTCGGGGGGGGTCTCTTCCAGGCTATCTTGGAGGGCCTGGGGGGGTCTGGGGACGATGTTTTGGAGGGTTCTCCCACGGGGGGGGTCTAAAACTTCTCGTCTGGGAGGGTTGAGACCCCCTCCCTTTTATAACGACATCTGGAGTAGGTCCGAAACTTCGATGCCTTTTGACATCTCGTCCTCCGGCAGGCGCAGGCCGCCTGAGAGTGGCCGGTGCAGCATTCGACCATCGTGTTTTTCAGTGCTCGTGTTCACCCAACTCCTCCGCTCAGCGGCCGGTTTTCCTATTTGCTTCCATCGCTGGCAGATGTTCAGCGTTACTACTCTCTGCTGCTGGCACACGCTCAGCTGCTTCTTGGCCGGCACGGTGCTGCGCCGTTAATTATTTGCTTCCCGTGCGTTGTGTCCCAGCCTCGTTCTTACCGCCCTCTGGACTTTTCCTTGGGGGCCGCGAATGAAAAAGTTCACCCAACTCCTCGAAACAGGCCCCAGGGGAAGGCTGCTCCAGATCAGCTTGGGGGTCATTCAAGACCGATCCGAACATCTCAACATCGACATGTCCGGGGAGATGTGATCCTCCCAGGGCCCCGGATTTTCTGATCCCCGTAGTGTGATCATCACTGGTGCAGGGCTATACGTCCTGGATGGCACGTGAGCAGACAAGAGCGAATAGTCTTACATTCAGGATAGTCGTTGTTGTTGTTGCTGCTGTTGCTTTTGTTGTTGTTGTTGGTGGTGTTGCTGCTGCTGCTGTTGAAAGCCGGGGCCCAAGGACACAGTCTGAGAATTAACATTCTCCTGTGCAAGAAACATATTGCGAGCCCCGGGAGGGGCATTTCAACTGAAAAAGGACGGGGCACAAGAGGGGGGACCAACAATATTTGGACGTCGACATTCATCAGGAATCCGCACCGCGAATCAGATTTCAGCCACGTGCCCATGTAGAGTGTGAGACCGTTCGGCCCCTTCACTTTGATATGATTATTACTCATGGCACATGGCTTGACATCGTGGTATTCTGGCTACGGCTTGCCAGTGATCTGACCCTTGTTCGTGGTCCTCTTATGGTAGCAATCATCTCCTTCATTTCCTCAGCCATTTGCCCCAAGCAGCCCGCGGCGTTTCAGGAGTATTCGCGCGCGCGTTTGCGCGCGGGCACCGTGGGAGTTCATGGCCCGCGTCGGGGCCTCAGAAGGCTCCGACGTCTTGCACGGGACGCCGGCGCGGCTCCCATCGGACAGGGCCTGCCCCGCCCCCTGCCTCGCTCCCGCACCGCTCCTCCAGCCCTTCCCCCCCTCTCCCTCGCCATTCCCCGTGCCCCGCCGCCCATCCCACCCCCCGCCTGTCTCCCCACTCCTCCCTGGTCCCTTCCCGCCGTGCCGAGGGGTGGCTCGGGAGGAGTGTCATGCATCGGGCCACGGCGGTCGGGGTCGTCAGAGCAAAGTCGGGGCCAGGCTCCGCCTCCCCCATGGCTCGTCTGCATCATGTTTCTCCACTTCCTCTCCTCGGACCTGGGATCTCTCGCCGCACTCCCTCATCCGTTCTCTTCCTCGGAATCAACACATGGGTCATCTCCCTCGTCCTACCGTCGTTGCTCATCCTTTCCTCGTCCTGTCCCTCCTCGTCGTTTTCCTCATCCTTCACTCCCTTGCTCCCTTGTTCTTATTGTGTAGGGGACAAGCACCTGGTGCAGAGGGTGAAGGTTCTCAACTCTTCGCATATGCCCGGGTACGGCCTCAACGCAGTGCTGTGAATTTAATGGATGGTTGGTTGGGGGTGGTAGGTGGATGTATCTGTTGTACCTGCCTCGGCACCAGAGCCTGATGAGCATATGCAGTCATCCATCGGCGTGAGGCTCGAACCCGCTAAAGAAACGAGGGTACAGGCAGTGTTACCCAGAGTGCTGCCCGAGCTGAACGGAACAAAAACATTGCTGCATTCCCGTTCTGTGCGTTTCACATCCTACACAGCAGGCGTGTCAGGCGATGAGGCTGGTCTCCGTGGCTCGGCAGGTGAACCCCATCAGGGAGGATTGCTGCCGAGCGTCGGAAATCCGAAAAGCGAAAACGCTGAAAGCCATGCCAACTGGCGGGAAATCACTGATTTCGGCCTCTGAGGGGGTCCTCTTGGGGGCCTCCTGGGGGCGTTTTGGGAGCCTCTTGAGGACTTGAGGAGCGGTCAGCCCGTGACCGCTCGCGCTCCCCTGCGGCCCTTGTGGCGGCCAGGCGACGGCGAGCGCCATTCCCCACACAGTGAGTCTGCAGTGCTGCAGGCCCTGGCGGACGAGGAGCTGAAAGGTTCCGTGCCGCAGGACGTCCTCAAGAAAACCCGTAAAGTTACCAGCGATTTGAAGGCGCACATCGACAGCCTGCAGAGGGTCAATGAGCGGACCCAGCCAACGAAGGCGGACACTGCCAAGTTGGAGGGCGGCCACTTCCCTCCAGGTTGCCGCCCGTTCACTCTGTCATACGAGTCGCCCTTGTTGGACACATCCCGCGTGGACCAGCTCGGGGTGAGGTTGGACTTGGCGGGGGAGATTGTGCGCGAGGCCAATCAGGCAGCCTACAGTGACCGCGTGGTGGTCCAGAAGAAGCTTGGTTTGATCTTCATGGCTCGGCAGCGCGAGGAATTTCGTCGCCTGGCGCGGAAGGACCATTTCGTGTAGCACTGCGTTGCGTCTGTCACATCGCACACCGAGGAGTCCGTTGCATTTCTGGACCTTGATATGGCAGGAGGCGTGGATTCAGAGGCCCGCCTTCTCGATGCTGGCGTGCCCGTGGTTCAGATCACGGCTAAGGCGAACGTCCTCTACGCGAAGACGGTCGCCCACGCTGCCGCCGCCAAGCCCCGCGCGAAGGAAGAGCGGGCCAAAGAGGTAACCCGCAAGGACAAGTTGGTCCAGGAGCTGATCACCACGAGGCCAGCCGATCTCTTCAACATGGCCGTCGACTCCCCGGCTTGCCCAGCGCGTGGCGGGCAAGGGCCTTGGCTTGCGCCAGACACTTTCCGTATATGGTGCGTCGTTGTTCTCTGGCGCTGTGAGCGGCACTGGCGCCGTCCAGAGGGAGGATGCCGAGGCCTTTGCGTCGTCAAAAAACGGCGCGCCCCAGCCCGTCAAGGGCGGGGGCAAGGGTTCAGGCGAAGGCAAGCGGCCAGGAACGAAGCAGCAATGTAATTCGAAGGGAAAGGGGAAAGGCAAAGGCAAAGGGGCCGGAGGCAAGTCGAAGGGCAAGGCGAAGTCCAAGTTCTTGGCGAAGGGCTCCGGCAAGGGCAAGACGTCTGGCAAGGGCAAGGGCAAGAAGGGCACCGCCCCTGGGCGTGACGACGCGCCGGCGCGCGGAGGGCGCGGAATTTGGAGAGGTCATTGACTTGGGAGTCGCGTCGCCGGCTGAGGAGGAGGAGCGAAAGGAGTCATGAGAGCGTGTTTGTTGCCATGTTCATCCACCTTGCTCGCGATTGTCCCTCTTCCGATTTTAACTCCCCTCCGTTCTTGTTCTGCCATGCCCGTACACATATACACACATATATATATATATATATATATAGATATAGATATAGATATGTGTGTACCGTCCCGAGTATAGTTCCGTTTCGGTACCGTCCGATTGTACCCTTGCTTGGCCAGTCCGATTTTTTCGCCATGTTCCACCGAAGACACATTGGCATGTCAGCGCAGGCCGGATTTGTCTCAAGTGTCTCTTGCTTTGTGGAGCTGGGAACATAAAATCCGATGGCGGTACCATTTCTCTTCGCACACAGGGGGCGCTTATAACCCATGCAGGCACTTCTTGTCCAAGCGTTTTACCACGCGTGAATGCCCTGTTGGACTCCCCGTGTTTTCGCAGTGCATGTTAGATGCTGCGAAGCGTGATACGTGGAAGGCGCGTTTGGTCCACAGCAGACGTTCTTCGAATGTGTACCTGCTGTGGTTACGTTCGCCATCGCATTGCTTCGCAAAAGGAGACGTCGGCGCCCTCCCCACGGACAGAGGCGCGGGTTTCTGTTTATAGCAGAAGCTTGATTTGCATGACTGGTTTAATCGTCTGTTGTCCGGGCCGTCGTACCCCGAGCACCCTGGCACCTTCGAGTTTGGTCGTGCCGTCACGCACGATTTTGTTGACGGTTGAAAAGAAGCGCGTGGCGCACTAGAAGATGACGCCTTGGCCTGGAATGTGCTTTCCGATGTGAGCTTGGACCGATGCAGCGGCATCGTCTCCAGGGTAGTGGCCACCGTGAGGACGCACAAGCCAGCCAATAAGGTAGACTTGCGCTTCTTGCGTTGCAGTGGCCATACTCCCATGGCTCTGGCCATGCGTTGGGTTTCTGAGAAGCTGAAGCCAGGTTGACGGTGCATCCCGTTTCTGGCACGCGACACCAACATGTGTTGAGCATTTTTACCTAACAGCGAAGACCGATAGGTTTCTAATGGGTTCAAAAGAAAGCATCATGACTCCCCAGGGGGGTCTGGGCAGATGCCGGACGGGTGCCGCGGGAATCCGGGCACTTATTCTTAAGCCAGTAACGCATTTCGTGGTCTTCGAGGTCCCAGAACTTGATTCCTGGGCATGATTTTGAATGCCCGGAGCCAGCTGTACGCCACTTCGTGTTCTTCGAGTTCCCAGAACGCCATTCTTGGGCATGACTTTGAATGCCCGGAGCCAACTCTAGGCCACTTCGTGGTCTTCGAGTTCCTAGAACTCCATTCCTGGGCATGATTTTGAATGCCCGGAGCCAACTCTAGGCCACTTCGTGGTCTTCGAGTTCCCAGCAATCCATTCCTGGGCATCATTTTGAATGCCTGGAGCCAACTGTAGGTCACTTCGTGTTCTTCGAGTTCCCAGAACTCCATTCCCGGGCCACATTTTCAATGCTGAGGCAGGCTGATGCTGAGACTGAGGCAGGCTAAGGCTGAGGCAGGCTGAGGCTGACGCCGAGGCTGAAGCAGGCTGAGGCTGAGGCTGAAGCAGGCTGAGGCTGAGGCTGAGGCAGGCTGAGGCTGGGGCTGAGGCAGGCTGATGCTGAGGCAGGCTGAGGCTGAGGCTGAGGCTGATGCAGGCTGAGGCTGAGGCAGGCTGAGTGAGGCCGAGGCCGAGGCTGAAGGCAGACTGAGGCTGAGGCTGAGGCAGGCTGAGACTGCAGGCTGATGCAGGCTGAGGCTGGGGCTGAGGCAGGCTGATGCTGAGGCAGGCTGAGGCTGAGGCTGAGGCAGGCTGAGGCTGAGGCAGCCTGAGGCTGAGGCCGAGGCTGAAGGCAGGCTGAGGCTGAGGCTGAAGCAGGCTGAGGCTGAGGCTGAGGCAGGCTGAGGCTGAGACTGAGGCAGGCTGAGGCTGAGGCAGGCTGAGGCTGAGGCTGAGGCTGATGCAGGCTGAGGCTGAGGCAGGCTGAGGCAGAGGCCGAGGCTGATGCAGGGTGAGGCTGAGGCTGAAGCAGGCTGAGGCTGAGGCGGATGCAAGCTGAGGCTGAGGCTGAGGCAGGCTGATGCTGCGGCAGGCTGAGGCTGAGGCTGAGGCTGATGCAGGCTGAGGCTGAGGCAGCCTGAGGCTGAGGCCGAGGCTGAAGGCAGACTGAGACTGAGGCTGAGGTAGGCTGATGCTGAGGCAGGCTGAGGCTGAGGCTGAGGCTGAGGCTGATGCAGGCTGAGGCTGACGCTGAGGCAGGCTGAGGCTGAGGCTGAGGCAGGCTGATGCTGTGGCAGGCTGAGGCTGAGGCTGAGGCTGAGGCTGAGGCAGGCTCAGGCTGAGGCAGGCTGAGGCTGCGGCCGAGACTGCAGGCAGACTGAGGCTGAGGCTGAAGCAGGCTGAGGCTGAGGCTGAGGCAGGCTGAGGCTGAGGCTGAGGTAGGCTGATGCTGAGGCAGGCTGAGGCTGAGGCTGAGGCTGATGCAGGCTGAGGCTGAGGCAGGCTGAGGCTGAGGCCGAGGCCGACGGCAGACTGAGGCTGAGGCTGAAGCAGGCTGAGGCTGAGGCAGAGGCTGGCTGAGGCTGAGGCTGAGGCTGAGGCAGGCTGAGGCTGAGGCTGAGGCTGATGCAGGCTGAGGCTGAGGGCTGAGGCAGACTGAGGCTGAGGCTGAAGCAGGCTGAGGCTGAGGCTGAGGCAGGCTGAGGCTGAGGCAGGCTGAGGCTGAGGCTGAGGCAGGCTGCGGCTGAGGCTGTGACTGCGACTGCCGTTGCCACTGCGACT